TGAGGCCGCAAGGCAATCTTCTGCGGCCGCACAAATCTTGTGTGGTTCGCAATTCACTGAGGCTCTGAACTTGGTCTTTTTGCATACTCTCTGATCTTCGACTCTTAGCCCAGCTTTGCAGACGCACAATTCATGTATGATCCGCAATTTGCACAAATGTCTACTAATTTTTCCCTCTTTATTTGCGGCCGCAGATGGAATTTTGCGGTCAACAATTTCTTCTGCGGATCACACAATGTATTCTTCTGTGCCCTTTACTGCCTTGTGCTTGGACTGCTCCTTTTTAGTCGGATTTCATATCGGGGGCCCAACTTCCAGTATTCCTGTAATTTTACACAATTTTATTAGTTTCGGAAATAGAATTCAATGCTTTTAGACTAAACAAAAGCTAAAATGCGCTAATAAGTAGTCAGAATCCCCACTTATCAAGAAGAAGAAGAAGAAGAAGAAGAAGAAGAAGAAGAAGAAGAATGATGGTACAAGAGAAGGATGGGTCGAACCGCATGCATCAGAGACATATGTGAGATTCTAAATTCAATACTACCTTTATTCTTGGTTAAGATTAATCCGTTTATATAATGTTATGTCAACAACATTTCAAGAAATGTATCAATGAAGAATGGAAGAGTGGCAACAAACTCAGCCTGATTCTCAACCGACGCCCGAAGATATGACTTCGATATGGACACAGGCAGGTAAATAAAGGTATAAAATTTTTTAGTAATTTTTTAGATATGACTTCGTTTTAATATTATTTTGCACAATTTGTATGTTTTTTTATCTTGCTCATTTAAATATTTATTTTATATCTCATGAAAAAAAATAAAGGTAAAGTCTACGGACTTGGAGTGCAACTGTGATCTAGTCATCCAACCGCATTACTTAGTGGTGCTTCTGCATCACCCGAAGCAATTAAGACTATGCGGAAGCAAATCAATGAATTGTCTCAACAATGGAATAATTCTCAAGAAGCAATAAGTATGATGCGGACATTCATGGCAAACCATGAAAAACAACGTCATTCAATAGAAGAATCTAACAATGAGGAGACTGAAACTGATGAGGATCGGTAGTAATTTGGATTGTGTAATAGAAATATTTAGACTTGATTGGTTGTTGCAAAACTCTGTTCATTTTAGACGTGGTGTAATGTGATTTTGGTTGATCGCTTTAGATTTTTATATGGTTTAATAGAATAGATGGTTTTATTATGTTTAAACAAGTTTGATACTTGTTAGTTTAGGTTCTATTGGTAGAATATTTGTAATATTGACTGTTGTGTATTGGTTATTTGATTTGGCAGGGGGTGTGGCTTAAAATACAACACAATTCTGCTGTATTTTACTAAATGTTGCGACTGATTTCCGACCAAAGTGGTTTCAAATTGGACCTGAAAATTTCCATATTTGAGGTTGAAGTGGTCGGCATTTTAATTAATTATTTTTTAATTTCTTAATTTCTAACTGATTCAGTCAGATAATTTAAATAAAATAAAAAATAATAATTAAATTACCGACCCAATCAGTCGGAAAATTGAATATATAATTAATTTATATTAATAATATACTGACCAAAGTGGTCGCAAGCTTTAATTTCATCTAGTCAACTGCACAATTCTCGTTTGCGACCAAAATGGTCAAAAATTTGCGACCGATTCCGTCGCAAATATTTTGCGACCATCATTTTTCTGACCACTTGAAATCCATCGGAAATAAGAGATTTTCGACTGATTTTCGAAAAATTTCGTGGTAGAAAATTTGGCAATTTCTAGTAATATGTGATTCTTCTCCGGATCTTGTGTGATGAATGCAGGATGCTTCATGCACCGAGTTTACCCTTTTTCATATATGCTTCTTGCTGCTAGATTAAAAATCTTAAAAATGGATGTAGCAAAGAAAAGCTATAGAAACATATCCTCAAATTTTTATTTCTTTTTCAATGATCAAATGCAAACATGAGGTAATTAAAAGGTTTAGTGATATCTCTAGGAGAAAAGAGTGCTGGTGAAATGAGATGAAGTTTGCTTGGTATAATCCAACTTTCTACTTCATTTGCTTTATTTCGATTATATTTCATAGATTTGTCACTTCCCTATATACTTTCTATTTTGTTTTAACACATAAAACTCGTCAAAAGACATACAAATTGAAGTAAAAGATCTCCGACTGTTTTCTGGTCATTTGGCAAATAAAATTGTCCCACTACAGTAGTCGTAAAGTTCCAACTAAAGTAGTGAGAAAGTAATTTTCGACCTATTATTTTCCTACTATCCCAAAGTGGTCGGAATGTAGTCCAAAAACTGGATTTTTCGACTACTTTTTGGCTATTTTAGTAATCGAAAAACGATAATTATCTGGTAGTGAAAATTTTCCAGTAAACTAAACGAACGATAGTTGTGAAAATTCTCCATTCAACTCCTCTATTTCGTCTACAAAAAAAGCTAACTAAGTGACCTACATGAGTAGATAGATCATACAATCAAAAGGCAAAAGCATTACCTGCAAAAATGTGAATCATCGTCACTGTGGAAGAGAACAAAAAATGTCGTGCAATGGAAGGAATCTTTGTCATGTCATTATATTCCTTCATTCCTTTTGTCGGCAGACATGACAGTGTCTGTGTGAAAGTTATGAAATCACATGTATATCATATGCAACTCTAGATATAAAGGAGCCCACTTATACTCTCTACATTCTTTTGATTTATCATTGGTGCATGATATTCGAGTGTTTTGATGCCGGACTAAATTCGAATTCGTACCGAAAAAATTTTACATTAATAAAAACAACTTTCTACCCAGAACTCGTACCCGAAATATCTTATATTAATGATAATGTAATACTTACCATTTAGTTGGTTATCTTGTCCATAGTTTGGTATGTCTCTAGTTTATTTCTGTTCTCCTTTTCTCATTTGAAACCTTTCCTTTTACGCGAAGAATGGGCAGAAGAATGAGAAAAAAATAGAGAAGCTACATGTCTTCGTCTCCTCCTTGTTCATGGTGATGGTGAAATCTATTTTTAGCATTATTTTTATTGTTTTTGAGGAAATGGAAAAACTTATATATTAATACTAAAGTTGGTTAATTGTATTATATCCCATAAAAATGCCTCTTAGGGCATTTTGATTGCCAAGTTCCACCAACATAATACAAATATTATTTATAATAAGTCTAATAAAATGTGTTCCTTCTTTATCCGGGCTTCAACGAATGGAGGTAGAGCTGCAAAATACATCGGTTGATGTAGGTTGGACTGCTTAGAAGCTACCATGGCCTTCTTCAATCGGAACATTAAAAACCTGCAATCACGAATAATAACCTCGTATGAAGGATAACCTTTTTCAAGGCTCTTGATTACTTCTAACGAGTCTGTCTCAATTTCTATTTGAATGAGCAAAAGTTTGCATGCCAAATGGAGGTTTGCTTTTAAAGCAAGTAGCTCAACTTGGATAGGAGATGTTGCATAAGTATAGTCGTAGAAACTGGTCACCAAATCTCCTTCATTGTTTCTGATGATCCCACCTAGATGATGCATAATAGCCCCAAATCTCCTTCATTGTTTCTGATGATCCCACCTAGATGATGCATAATAGCCTATAAAATATATATATATATATATATATATATATATATATATATATATAATCAATGTACATTTGGTTAGTGGTGCAATTATTTTTGACCGACTGACCAAATGTGGGACTTGCCCTTAATTTAAGGTATTGTTACATAAATAGCCGGCTAGATTCAATGTTTACTTTTTCTAACCGGTATACATAGATTATACATTACTTATATATAATTATATATATTTTATACATGAATTATACATATATTATACATCTACCGGCTGTTTTTAATTAAAAATATTAGGTGGGCGGCTATTTGGGTTAATTCTTGAGAAAACTACCCTCTATAGCCCCTCAAAATTTTAATAACCCATGTTTTTGCCCATTGACACAAAATGGCCCTGCGGCCCAAACATATTGCATCTAATAGCCCGAAATATCTATTTTGTATATTTTTTGTATAGTGACAGTCTATTTAGTATATATTTTATATAGTGACAGTTTATTTTGTATATATTTTGTATAATGACAGTCTATTTAATATATTTTTGTATAATGACAATCTATTTTGTATATGTTTTGTATAGTGACAGTCTATTTAGTATATTTTTTTGTATAATGACAGTCTATTTTTGTATATATATTTTATATAGTAATAATCTATTGTATATAAATTGTATAGTGACAGTCTATTTTGTATAATTTTGGTATAGTGACGGTCTATTTTGTAATATACCAATATTCTAATCTATTTTCACCGAAGAAATACATAAATATCCATGTAAATATATACTAATGGTGGGCCTAAAATTATAATTCTCGTCAAAATCAACTAATGACATATATGTGAAAATTTATTTGGTGAAAACCAAAGGATTTTTCTAGCAAAGAAAGTTAGCCCAGAAAAAAATGAGTCAATAATAGAGATCTTTAGATTTTTATTCAAAGGATGGTTGGTTGCCCCTCTCTGTTTAGCCAATGATTTTTCTTTTTCACTTTTAAAACAAAATCAACAATCCTTGAATTCCTGGAAATACGTACTACAATACAATTATTTCTTCAGCATCAATCAATCAACAACAACCAGATCTCTCTTTCTCTGTCTCTGTTTTTGTGATTTTAGTTCCTCTTTTTTGGTACATAACAATTAAGGCAGTGAGGATATTTTATCCGGATTCTAGGCTAATTGGATCGGGCATAGAGACTATCTGACCCGTATCTTGGCTTGGCAAATCACCGGACAAGCGGCGATTCAAAGGTTTTTACTTTGCATGCAATCGGTGATTTTGCAGCCGTGGCGTGGTCGCCTCTCTTTTCCGCGATCTGTCTTTGCAGATCTGAGCCTCTTAGTTAAGTATTTTTGGGCTAGCCACTAGAATTACTTTTGGGTTATAAAATATAAATTATAATTTTGGGCTACCGGATGTTAAAAGTTTGGCCCGAATGGCTATAAATGAATTTTGCTCTTAATTCTTCTTAATTTAAAGCAAAGAGCTAAGCACCAATACTTGGATTGGATCCAACAAGCACGAGGGCAGCCCAACAGCCCACTAGTACCTAGATTTGGCCCAAATATATTTTACCCGAGTCAGCAAACCCTCCTCAATTCTGACTTTTCGTTTCTTCATTCTCAAAACAGTCGTAGAAGGAGAAGATCTCGAATCGCTTCACAAAGGGCTCCGAAGCCCAAAGAAAAACCAAAGGCATCAGCTGCTACCGTAGCTATATCCATTGAAGATCTCTTCACTTCGCTCAATCGCTACATCCAACGATCCGAATATGAACAAGCCGTCAAAGTTTCTGATCAAAGTCAGTTCAATTTTAATTTTGATCCAATATAGCATTTAATGAAGTTCATTGTTAATTTTTTTAATGGATTTGTTTGAAGTTATTGCGTCTGCGCCTGGAGATGAGGACGCGATACGGTGTAAAGTGGTGGCGTTAGTGAAAGTCGATTGACTTCTAGTAATGGGAAATCTGAGAGAAGTCAGCACTCCTGATCTTCTCTACTGGGATATTAGCCATTTCATAAGCTTATTTTCAGTACCAAATGACTATAGTCAACAATGGAGGCACTGAGTGATTTGTCAAATGAATTATTAATTTTTGATAGTTACTAGTTGGGAAGTAGTGTTGATATTTTGAATAGTCTTTCTGTTATTTAAGTCAAGGAATGCAACTCCATGTTTTCACAAGATTTATTGTTTATTTTTAGGAGGGGAGCCACGGAACAACGTTAAAGTTGTGTAACTTATAATTTTACGGATTCGAGACGTGTAAGCAGCCACTAATAATTGCATTAGGTTAAACTGTTTATATTACACCCCTTAGGATGCGGCCCTTTCTCGGACCCTACGTAAATATGAAATGAATTGTGCATCGATTTTCTTTTTTTTGGGCTTTTCTTTGTTTTTGTTGAAGAGAAACTCAGGTGTCCTCAGGGCCATTTGTTTATCCCTTGGTATAACATGAATGATAAATTAAGTGGTATGTCTATTCTTTCTTTTTCTTTTTAACCCTCAATTGGCACCTGGGGAATAAATATGATTTTTTGATTCCCTTATTGCCTATGTTATTCAAAGTGGTATGACTTATTCAACTCAGCAAATAAAGCATTTTTCTTTTTATTAAATAGTATGTCACTTCTTAGGGTATGAAAAGATGCCACGTACAGTGGCAAATCCAACCATGATTTAGCGCGTTCGACAAAATTTAGTGTGTTGAATTCAAACTTTTTTTGGTTTTCATTCGGCGTACGATATTTGTATTGAGGCTCAACTAATCTGGATGCTCGTCGTATAAGGCTCATTTAAGGAAAAATGTTTGTTACCAGGATTTTCTCATACTTAGGGCTCGAATACAAGATCTCTAATTAGTCGATCCTCGGAGCTTTGATCTTATACATAATTGCAACCCGTGATAATAATTCGAACCTTATACATATGTATGAACAATAAGTATAAATAAAACTAAATACAAAGATAATTTGGTCCACCACCCAAAGGAAATGAAAGAAAATAGACACAGAAGATAAAGAGAAAGCAACTTAGATGGGACTTATAAGAGAATTTGGTTATATTTGAAAAGAAGTTTGAAAGTATAAGAACCATTAATTAATATTGCTGGTTGGCAAAATTCCATTATCTTTTCCTTTTGGTTTGTGGGTCCATACTGTTTGCAGAATATCTAATAAAAATCTCTAGCCAAACTACACTTGTTCTCCTTTCAGCGGCCCTTACTTTGTCGTATTCTTGTCTATGTTCACGGACTCTCCAAAATGATATCGCATCCGTGTCGAATCTTTCAAAAATACATTATTTTTGAAGGATCCGACACGTATCCGACACTATTTTCGGAGAGTCCGAGCAACATAGATTCTTGTGCTACATTAGATTCTCTTTCCTTTTCTTCTTTCGTTCTTTTTTTTTTCCTCCTTAAAACGATAAGTAATATCATTAGTATTTCCTCCGCCTTTGTGGTATTTGATTCGATACAAAATTTAAGAAAGAAGGAAACCTTTTAATATTTATGCTCTAAAACAAACAAAAAATATTTGTATGGTTATAATTTATCTCATTAAAGGCAAAGTAGGAACTTCAAAGTTAAATTATTTCTAAATAAGGAAGTATAATATTCTTTTTTAAACGGACTAAAAGTGAAAGCATGACACATAAATTGAAATATATGGAGTAATAGAGTAAGCTTCATTTAATCCCTTTAATCTTTAGAGTTTAATAAATAATACCTTTTTCACCTATTAATGAAATAATAAATTCCCTTGATTTAAAAATAAATTGTTATATGTATTTTCAAAATGTCAAAAAATAACATTCAAGAGATAAACTATTATACGTTTTTTCTCAAAATAAAATTAACTAAGAAAAATACTCAATAAAACTAACTAGATTTCATTTAATGATGCTAATATTATAAAATTATTAACAAAACGATGTAATAAAAATTCGGGGGATATAGGGTTTGTTTGGTATAACGGAAAATATTTTTCGTAGAAAATATTTTCTTGGAAAACAAGTAGTAATCTTATTTATTTTTCGGTATTTGGTACGCAAATTAAGAAAAATAACTTCTCGGGAGTATTCATAAATAATTTAGATACAATAAACATGAAGCCATAAATTTTCGAACCAACAACCTTCCGAACCCACAAATTTCATAAACTTTCGAATAACTAAACTTTCGAAACCGCAAAATTTCGAACCCGTAAGTTTCCAAACACATAAACCTCCGAACTTATAACTTTGGAACTTGTAAAATTTCGAACCTGTAAAGCGAAAGATGAAAAAACTAAAACTTAAAATATATAAAAAAATATTTTTTTTTCGAAGGGGAGGAGGGCAGGGGCCGGGGGAGGGGGTGTGTAAAGAAAAACGAAAAAACAGAAATTTAAAATTACAAAAAGAAAAGTAAAAAAAATACTTTTTTTTGTGCGGGGTGGGGGTGCAGAAAAAAGAAAAAACAGAAATTCAAAAATTACAAAAAATAATTTTAAAAAAAAACTTTTTTTTNAGAAAATGAATTCATAAGAAAAATATTTTCCAAAATGTTTAAACCAACCAAACATGAGAAAATTAGAAAAATATTTTTCGAAAAATATTTTCCTTAGAACCAAACATGTAATATGGCCATTAATTTGGCTTATTTTCAAGTGGGGACAAATTTTTATGACATTTGCCATGACATAATATCCACTATAACACAATTTGTGGACCAAGTTTTCATGACATTTGCCATGACATTATATCCACTATTAGGCCAAGGATTTCTTGCTATAAATAGAGGAGTTTCTTCTCATTTGAGAAAATACCAATTCAAGAGCTTTTCACTCTTGTCTTTCTTTCTCCTCCTTTATTTCATTATAGAGTATTTTGTAAGTGAGTGAGTGTTGGGAAACACTTGTGTGAACACTTTCTTTGGAGTGATCCTGTGAGGTTATTCTCTTGGGGTATTTGGGACTAATTAGTGTATTTACTCTAATTAATTTTGTACTCTCTTTTGTACTCTTGTTGGTATAGTGAAATTGCTCTTCTCCGCTTGTGGACGTAGGTCACCTTGACCGAACCACGTTAAATTTGTTTCTTCTTTATCTTCTTTAATTGCCGTTATTATCAACTTGCATTGTCTTTGTTATTGTCATTATAACATTATTTGGCTAAATTCTACACTACCCGATTTCCCGATCCTAACAAATTGGTATCAGAGCCAAATCTAAGCGGGTTAGTTTAAATAGCCAAAATGGCTCTAACAAAGTTTTATGTTGAGAAGTTTGATCGAAGTACAAATTCGAAATGTGGCAATTAAATATGGAAGCTATCCTAATTCAGGATGGCTTAGATTTGGCACTGCAAGGAAAGAAGAAGATGCCAGATAAAATGACGGACGAGGAGTTTGCCGTCATAAACAAAAAGATAAAAGCAGGTATTATTTTAAATCTTTCAAATGAGGTTTTGCGTGAAGTTGCAGCAGAAAGCACAGCCTTATGGGAAAAGTTTAAAACCCTATATATGAAAAGAACAGTAGAAAATAGGGTTTACCTAAAGCAAAAACTCTACACTTTTCGTATGACTGAAGGTACCTCTATACTTACACATCTTGATACTTTTGATTCTCTTCTTATGGATTTAAGTAACATAGATGCTGAAATCAAAGATGAGGATCAAGCTGTGTTATTGCTTGTTTCCTTACCCTAGTCGTTTAAACATATAAGAGATACTATACTTTATGGAAAGGATAATATCACTTATAAAGATATCAAATCTATTTTGAAATTAAAAGATCAAATAGATAGAAATATTACTGGGGAAACTAGTGGGAACCAAGAGGAAGGCTTATTCATAAGAGGTAGATCCATTAAGAAAGATTCAAGTAGTGAGAAACTTAAATCAAGGTCAAAATCCAGATACAGAAATGTCATGTGCAAATATTGTCGTAAGAAAGGTTACATTATTTCTGAATGCTTTAAATTAAAAAATAAAGAAAAGCATACAGAAAAGAAAAATGAGCACAAAAATACTGACACTACCGAAGCAAGTGTAGCTGCTAATGAGACGGAGGGAACTATTTTTTTAGCAACTAATAATAGTTTTAAATCTAACAATTAGTGAATTTTAGATTTGGGTTGTTCTTATCATATGTGTCCCAATCGGGATTTATTTACCACATATGAATCTATTGGAGGTGGAGTTGTCTTGATGGGCAACAATGCTGCCTGCAAAGTTATTGGAAAAGGTACAGTCCGAATCAAAATACACGATGGTGTGGTGAGAACTCTCACCAATATTAGACATGTTCCTGACTTGAAGAAAAATCTCATCTCTTTGGGCACTCTAGAATATCTTGGGTGCAAGTACATAGGTAAAGGTGGAGTTTTAAAAATTTCTTATGGTGCTCTTGTGATCATGAAAGCACACAGATCTAGTACGTTGTATACTCTTTTGGGATCTACTGTTACAGGTGCTGCTGCAGTTTCAATATTAAATAAATCAGATTCTCACATCACCAAATTGTGACACATGCGATTGGGGCATATGAGTGAAAAAGGTCTTTCCATCCTCAGCAAAAGAGGTCTCTTAGTGGCCAAAGTACCAAAAATATGGAGTTATGTGAATATTATGTGTTTGGAAAGCAGAAAAGTGTCAGCTTCAAATCTCCAGCGATTCATAGAACAAAAGGTACTTTGGATTTTATTTATTCAGATCTTTGGGATCCTTCACGTACACCATCAAAAGCTGGTACCAGGTATATGTTAACTTTCTTTGATGATTATTCAAGGAAAGTTTGTGTTTATTTTCTGAAAAATAAAAGTGATGTTTTCTTAAATTTCAAACAATGGAAAGTTTTGATTGAGAAACAAACAGGAAAACAGGTTAAGCGGCTTAGAACAGATAATGGCTTGGAATTTTGTAATGATGAATTCAACGAATTTTGCAAGAATGAAGGAATTGCTCGACATCGTACTGTAAGAATGACACCTCAGCAAAATTGTGTGGCAGAAAGGATGAATAGAACTCTTTTGGAAAGGGCTCGTTGCATGATTTCAAATGTTGGGTTGACAAACGCCTTTTGGGCAGAAGCTATCTCTACAGCTTGTTATATTGTCAACCGAGCTCCTTCTGCACT